CCCCCAGCCGCTCTCTCTCCTGCTCCAGACTCTGCCTCATTTCAGCCATGGTCAGCTCTACACACACACACACACACACATATAATCTCCATATACATACATACATACATACATGTATATGTGTGTGTGTGTGTGTGTGTGTTCATCTGGTCTTAAAGAAGTTTGAGATCTATAAAGGTTTTATTTGATGACAGAGCAGTGTTTTATGGTTTTGTGCTGTAAAACTTTACACACCTGCAGCGTCTGACAGTCAGTGACCTGCAGCTCTTCACACACAGGAAGAATTATTGTCATCTATTTGTGGGCGTGGCCAAAAACATGATTTGAGGTCACAGGCAGGCAAGTGCACACACAGACATCAAAGGGAGCTTGAGCACCTGCCCTTTTTCTTCCTCGAGAGAAAGTGCCCTTTTTTCTGGGGAGTTTTTTTTTCTTCTTTTTTTTAAATAAATGAATATATGTATATATGTGTGCGTGTGTGTGTTTCTGTTTACGCACAGCTTTCCCTGTCAAACAAATAAAAAATCGAAATATCTGGTCGGGTCAGGAAATGTTGAGACTCTGTCAAGTTCTGATGCCTTTCTCCCTCCACGTCTCCGTGCAGCACAGCAGGGTAGTTTAATATTAAGACACTTATGTTTTAGACACAGTATTGACTGTTTTTGCTTTATTTCACCAACAAATATAATTTCAATTTGCGTCTCTGAGCAACATGACACTGTTTTGTTCCTGAATGAATCAACCGTTTAAATGATTCGGTTCAGTCGCAATGACTCACGTATTAACAGGGACTTGCTGCCACCTGCTGGTGGGTTTAAATTCATTTAAAGTATCTTTTCATTTTTTAAATAATTGTAAATAACAGTATTCAACACTTATGTTTTAGACACAGTATTGACTGTTTTTGCTTTATTTCACCAACAAATATAATTTCAATTTGCGTCTCTGAGCAACATGACACTGTTTTGTTCCTGAATTAATCAACTTTAAATGATTCGGTTCAATCACAATGACTCACTTATTAACAGTGACTTGCTGCCACCTACTGGCGGTTTTCATTTCACATTTAAAGTATCTTTTCAATTTTTAAAATAATTTCAAATATCAGTATTTAAGGTTTTATGTTTAAAATATCAAAACAGTATTAATGCATTTGTAAATGCATGTTAAATACATTCATGTCCTGCATTAAACAGATGAACAAATGCCACTTCAGATGCAGCTTCTGTGTTTCCTCTGCATTGCAAAGATTAATTTTGTCAATACTGATGTTGGACTGGTAACAGCCCAAATGACTTAATATTGTAATTGACTGATTCAATTTAAGAATTTGACTGAAAAGATGATGCACACTTTTAGAAAAAAAAGGCTTTATAAAGGTAAAAAAGCTCATAAAAGGTAAAAATAAATTTAAACTTATTGGAAAACAATTAAATTCTATCACTGCTGTGAACTGATCACCACACAGAATATAAAGAATATCAAAAACTTTAGGAGTCAGCTGTCCACGGCAGTCCTTAAGATATCAGCACAATAACTCACTCAGCAAAATATCATCTAATTATCGTTATCGATAAAATTGAGATAAATATAACATTGCACACCCCTGATATATTTAACATTTTGTTTAGAAATGTTTTTAAATAAATATGAGAAGTGCCCTTTTTTCCACTTGAGCCCCTGCCCCTCAAATGCCCATGCACGTCCCTGTGTAGCAACAACATTGGAGTGTGTATTGTTAATGTCTTATTTTACAGAGAATTCAGGTTTCTTTTTGTGACAGTTTATTAATATATGACCCCCTATACTGTAAATCCCCTTTTTTGTTTTACTGTGAGCCTATTTCTATTTGATAACATTAACCTTTAATACATTTAAATCATGATTATTGCACCACATGGTCCTTGTTTGTCAACCTTTATAGCAACATAACAAAATAAATTGTGAATCTCACAGTTTTGTCTGTAGTTGTAAAAAAAAAAAAAAAAAAGTAGGTTTGGTTGTTAAAAAAAAAAGTTTAACAAAGCAGTCATCAAAAAAATTGCTAATATGAAACAATGGCAGGCCAAATTCCTATAGAAATAGATCACCGTCAAATTAGTACAATTATAACTCATTTAGTTTAAATGTACTCTTGTGAATAGATAAAATAAGAATATACAAAATATCTACAATCCAGAAAGAGAAACAACTGCAAAAGAACAGCCAGTAGACCTAAAAGATTAATACTAATAATAATAACCTCTAAATAAATAATTTGTGTTTGTTTAGTTAGCACAGTTCGGTGCATTTATTTACAGTATTGGTTAATTGTTCTGAGAATCGACGTGGCTTTTCCACAATTTGTAACATTCTAAGTCAATATTCGAACACAACAAATAGTCTACTACATTAAAGTGTGCTTTCTAAGATTCCATGTGTATGTAGTGTCTGCCAGTCAACATTAGCGCGCTACCCTCAGGCTGAATTACGCAAGGACACCAGACCTCTGGCTGCATTCAGACATCTGAACGTTAAGCTCAGCCGTGTGAGATAAGATAAACAGAAGAGTCACAGTAACTGACACTCCAGCTTTCTTCAGTACAGCAAACATTGATCTGAATGTGGAGTTAAAGAGAGGACTGAACCTGTGCTCTCCAGGAATCTACACGATCCTTCTGGTTTTCCCTTTACACACTTTTACTCAGCAAGATACAGATACCGTGCTCTTATTCAAGCAGATGTTTGGTGAAAACGTCATGAAACACACATTAGTCCTGTTCACACATGGAGACGAGCTTCAACACAAATCAGTCGATCAACTCATTACACGTAACGCAGAGCTGTCCAAACTAACAGAGGAGTGCGGAGGGAGATTTCACTTACTGAACAACAAAGATCTGAACGACAGACAGCAGGTCACCAAACTCCTGATGAAGATCCAACGAATGGTGTCTGAAAATGACAACAGCTGCTACACTTTACAAATGTTTGAGACTCAGTCACTCAAAGTATTTCTGCAGAGATGTACAAAGCCACAGTATCTGTATGCAGTCAGTGTTGTCATTGTGATGCACTGGGCTGTGTGAATATGAGGAATGAAGGTTTATTTGATGTTAAAACATTTCTGTATGGTTGTGCTGGAGGTGTGTTATCAGCAGTGACAGGAGCCGTTTGCACACAGATGTACAACAATCAGAGATGGAGGATCAGGAGATTCACTGAAGATCATCTGAAATATGTCAGACTGTGGGGAATCATGTGTGGTTGTGCGGCTGGGATGATCACGGGGGGTTTTGTGGGTCCAGCAGGTTCATCAGCTACATTACTGAGAGGAATACTGGGCGGTGTTGGAGTTCCAGTATTCTGGAGTTTGTACAATAAAATATTAGAATGATTTGATTATTAATGAATAAAATAAACTGATACAAAAACACAGCAGCAGTAGTCGTGAATGAATAAATACTTCAGTGGATGAGATACAGGTTGGTGTGAGCTTATAGCCAGCCGGTTTCAAAAGTATACAGTATTCTGTATTATTATTGCAGAATGAACAATCATAGTGTTTTGTATTTTTACTCTAGCTTTCATAAAACACTGACTGAAACTGCTTTGAGTCTGGTTATATATTTGATTCACAATCAACTTTATTTTTATTGTGCCTTCCAAACAGGCTTCTCAAGGAGCTTCACAGAGAGACATTAATACAAAGAAATGATATATCATAAAAATAAAAGCTAAGTACCACAAAACATGCCACAATAAAAAATAAAAA